TTTTTTTTTTTTTTTTTTCTTTTCTTTTTCTCTTTTTTTTAAAAATAACATCATTGAATGTATAGACCTTAAATCTAGTGTTTTCTCTGTTTGAATCTATCATAGTACACCAACCGATCTCTGCCTACCCAAATGCTTTGGAAAGTCTCTGAGCAACRCATTTGCATCTATTTTCACTTATTGCATATTTTGTTCTAAATGGTGATAAGTAATCATTGAATACACTGAGTGAAGCACGTTTGACTGAGACTCAAAGACTTGTGTCGAAGAAAAAAAGAAAAGCGAATACTACAGGCCTTTAGAACATACTTTTAAACATATTTTACTGAGGTTAACTCCACATGCACTACCACTACATTCTATCATTATATACAATCTATGACACTCAACTCACATAGTGTTGATTTTTGCGGAGGAAAGAAAACCGGAAAACCTGAAGAAAAAACCCGTATGGTTTGAAGCGATTACTACTGGTTCAGTTCAGTTGGTCGTCCGGAGAGGAGATACGAGAGCAGCGAAGGAGCTTAGCTGAGAACCTTTTCAGCTATTCGAAGACAGAGTAGTGGGTTAATTTGAAGTGTGTCACGTGTCGATCGGCAGGTTTCGGGCCCAATTTTTGGAAAACTTTAATATTGCATGAGAGTGAATTTAATTTCTCGCTCGCCGATTGGCTTTTTTGCAGGCACATGTTCGATTCCAATCCGTCTGTATTTGTGATGCTAAGGGTGAAGCATAAAGTGAATGGAGTATGAGTTGAGGTTTTTAGTAGTTTATTCAAAACAATAAAAACAATACAAAAGCACACTGAAGCCGCTGCTACAAACCACCTGCGGTAAAAAATAGATAATTGAAAATGAGTAATCACTCAAGGACAATCAAAAACATTTAACTTTAATGACCTGCTAATAATTATGATTACAAAATCCTAGATCTACTACTGATATACTTATCTTAAACTGCCGCTTAGAATAGATCGTACTACTTTTTGCCATACTAAGTCTTTAGATTAGCTTCTCTCATCTAAGTGATAATTGGTAAATCTTCACTTGATTTCTTCGCTTAGAGTTTATCATTATTCGTTATTTGTTGTTGTAATTATAATATAATTTTTTGTTAGCGTGCACTTAATTTGGAGTTAGACTCTGTTGTGCTTGGCCCTTCCATTATAGCTTAGGAACTTAGATAACTGTCATGGATAAAGTTATACAAGTTTTTATCGGTAAAAGCATGCATTAGCAACAAGCTAAGTTAATCAACAGTGAATCTAAAGCATGCGATATTTTGAAGCTAGAAAATGGAACTGCAATTGTTTGTCTCCTACAATGACAGTTTCTCTTCCAAGCGAGACTTCGTTATCCTACCCACACTAAGTTTCCTCTAGAAATGGGTTCTTTCCCTTTGAGATTGGACCCCCTAGAAACCTGGGAAAGGAAAAAATTCAATATTAGACTATTATTTAAAAAAACACTATTTAATATAACACAATTGATGCTTAATGAACCGTTTACTGTGGGGTTAACGGGTCAAGTGGGCCTAATGATGAATTGTCTGACATCTCACTCAGTAAAGTGTACATCAATCCGGATCGACCTGCTTTCAGAGCATCTTACTTAAACAGGGGCGGCGGAAGCTAAAAATCTTTGGGGGG